CTGTTTCAGGCTGGACATAAGTCCCCAAGGTCTGGAACAGCCTGCCATCAGAGGTGGTTCAAGCACCTACATTGAACCCCTTCAGGAGTAAATTGGATGCTTATCTTGCTGGGATCCTACGAGCACAGCTGACTTCCTGCCCTTTGGGCAGGGGGCTGGACTCGATGATCTTCCGAGGTCCCTTCCAGCCCTAATGTCTATGAAATCTATGAAATCATTGCAGATGGCATGAGAGGGGAGGGCATAGCAGAGGAGATGGAAAGAGGAGCAGAAAGGTGATGTGGCCAGTGAAGAGGCTAGAGAAAGCACTCAGAGGAAGAGGAGGAGACACGGGTCTCCTGAGCTGTCCTTTTCTGCATGGTCATCGCCCTTCTCTCTGTGACTTCAGCATTGATTTTTCTCTTTACTCCCAGATGGCTGAGCTGTGCCTGGTGTAGCACTGGTCCTGGTAACCCCCTACTCAAAGCTGCCCCCCACTCAGCAAGGAATCCCTGCTGTCAGGCCTGTCAACTAGTTCTTCATCCATTTGGCCCCTGTTCTGTGGATATTGCATGGCACTTATTTTTCTGTCAGTGTCCAAAGTTTACATCAGATGCTGTACAGAAGCCTAAGCATGTTAGAGCTCCTCGGTCACCTGTACCAACACAACCTGAACCCTGCGGAGTGAGATGGAGCTCAGATTTGGTTGCCAAATTGCTGTATTTCACAATGCTGCATGAACGCTTCAAACCCAGAATAGTCAGGTTTGAGTGCCCAATGATGGCTCCAAAATCCACATGAAAGCACTTCTGTGAGTGTGGCCTGACTTTCTAGGATGCTGAGCACACAGAAGCCCTGCTGGAGTCGATGCGAGTCGCAGACATTTCACTCTTGGGCAGTGGGCTCAGGACAAAATGATGGTGAGACTGACTGACTTATTTTCAGCCACTGAACATTTCCTCCATTTGATTATTCCGCTGCTTGTTTTTCAGTTTAGAAGGTGAAAGTCCATGCTGGGGATCATCCACTGGCTTGAGGTGAAACCCTTCTTCATGCTTCCTTGCTTTGCTAAAGCAACTGCGTGATGCCCTGTGTATTGGCTCTAAGACCCAGGAGGAGCCTTTGCACTGGGACTGTGGAGGGGAGGGGGAGAAAGTAGGTGGAACAGAGAGGAATAGAGGGTTTTTTTAAGGTCCAGCCAATAGGCTTGTGTAGCCCGGGCATCTTATGTCTGTGACCAGTGGATCTAATTGCTTGTATAAAAGATAGTTCATTAGGAGCCGGCTTGTCAATGCAATTTGGTACATAAGAAAGGGCAAATCGGTGGGGTGTGTGTGACCCACCAGGTCCTCCCCACTGAACGCCAGGCCAGTGCATCCCTGCTGAGAACTGCCTGCCAGACCTGGGCCCTTTGGATGCCAGAGGCATTTTTGGCTGGGAGCTGTCAGCTGGATGAGCCAGGCTGGGCTTCCCTTGGCTTGCCTATGCGCTGGGACAGCATGTGGCTTTTGTAGTTTTTTTTCTACTTTGAAAGTTGCTTGGCTTGGGAGTGCAGCCAGCTCCCTTCGGAGGCTTTGGCTCTGAGCAAAGTTTGGCAGTGGAGGGAGAGGAAGAGGGGAACCTGAGCTAGGCTTTTGCTGGGACGCAGGGAGAGCTGCTGAGACCATGAGAGCCCGAGGCGCTAATGTAGGGTATTTTCTGCTCTGTTGTGGCTGGCTTCTGGTGAGTGGGCAGCTGAGAGGCACAGAGGCAGGATGCAGCAACCGGGGGAGCCATCAGTGCTGCCCTGGGAGGAATAACGCGTGCTCGGATCTCACGAGCTGGAGGACTGCCTGCTACTGTGACTCTTACTGTGAGAAGACAGGAGACTGCTGTGAAGACTACCAAGCCGTGTGTCAGAGATTGGGTGAGTAGCCAGGCTGGGGAGAAGCATGGTTTCACACCCACCCCCTTTCCTGCCTGCTTGTCTCATGCAGATACAGATCAACCTGGGTTTATCCAAGGAGCCTGCAGGGACTGCTTCTTCTCTCAGTGACTCTGGTGTGGATCAAAGTAACTCCATGAAAGCTAATGGGGTAACACTGGCACGGAGCTGGTAGAGGAGTGGATAGGGCCCATCAATTTTTGTTTGGTGCAGGGGGCGGAAGGTGTGAGTGGTTCCTTACGGGTCCGTTAACCCAAGTTTGGTGTTCTGCCTCCTTCACACCCATCTCCTCTGTGCATTTGGAGGCTTTGCTGAGAGCCTCGAGGAAGCTGCTTTTTCACGGGCTCCTTTTTGCAGGCTGGGTTGGATGTGGTTTTGCTTGCAGTGGCCCTGATGCTGCTGCCAGTGGGAGTCAGCACAAAGCTGTCAAAGACTTTACTTGGATTGGGGTCTCTCCCTATTGCTGCCCTGGGCTTTCCTGTCTGTGGCCTTGTGAGCTGCATTTTGCCAGGACTTTTGCTGACCCTACCTGGGAAAGGATTCAAGCACTGCCTTTCAGGCTGTGCTGACGGAAGAAAGGTGGAAGGCTGGACTGTATGTATGAGCCTGGGCGGCTTTCAGAAGTGAGCACCATCGTAACAAGGTGCTGAATGCAGTTGTGCCACAGGTGTGTTATAAGGGCATCCGCAGTCGGGGAGGAGAACAGTAAGTGGATTTTGAAAGGTGAGGAGTCTGAGCATTGGGGAAGGGAAAGGAGGAGCTGCCCATGAGTCGTCTAGAAGGCTGACCAGTTAGGAGAAACATCTGTGGCACCACCAGCAGGGCTGTCCCAGTGGGGAAAACTTCATTGATTCTGGCTTCATTTTGGTAGGAGGTCACTCGAATACTGCTGCACGTGGAGAGTGTGACTTATTCCCTCAGCACCCGTGAAGTGTTTTTTTTTCCCCAAAGAAACATCTGATACTGGCTACTGGAGGCAGGAAATTGGACCCTTTTGTTGACCTACTCCCGATAGACAGCACCAGACCAGAACTGGCCTGTCCAAGCTCCTTTTTTTTTTTTTTTTTT